AGTAGACAGGATATATAAGTGAAATAAATATTTTTTATTTAAACAAAGGATCTGAATAATCAATATATAATAAAAAATACCGAAAAATATGGTAGATAAATGTTTAGGATATGGATGGAGTCCTAAAACTGGGAAAACAAGAGATCTTAATAAGCATATGGACTTAACACGATTCAGACCATGTTGGGCTCTCTTGCAACTAACGCAAGTGCAAAATATATCTCAAACTAGAAACACTATTCAAGCTCCAGCTCCAGTAGACAATTTAGTACTAGCCTCCGAAAGCAATTTAATATTATTTGACAAAAACCCACCAACATACCAGCCAGCCCAGCCGAGTGTGCCGGCAGTTGATCTTTTAACTAGTGATATTCCAGAAGCAGATCCCAAAGCTGGTCTAGGTTCTAGAACACAAATACATAGAGAGCAAAAAAAGAAATTAGTTTTAACTATAAATGAACTAATAAAATGGTTATTAAAATCAGAAATAAAAAATAACAAAAAAATTAGATCCAAATTAGTTCCTAAAACAGATAAAGAATGGTTCGATCTAATGGAATCAAATATTAGTGAACCTAGTAATCCAGAACCTCAAGCTTATTATTTTCTAGATTTGGATATAGAAGTACCTTGGCCCGTCCTATTTCCAGAAAATGAAGAGCATCATGAAGTATGGCAAAATAGCATTCAATATGCAAAAGATATGTTTAAAGTGAATGGAGCCAAATATGCATTCTCAACCTGGTTTATAGATACTGAAGAATATAAATTAGAAGCTGGAATGACCGAAGAGTGAGCCCGAGAAATTTCAAATACAATTGATAATAGTGAGTATTTAATAAGAGTAAAATTTATTCGAGCCGATACAGTAATATCAGATAAGGAAACAAAAAGAGGTTTTAAAATTATAGATAAATATGAACCTATTTGTGAGTCGAAAAAGGCAAATAGTAAATATATAAAAGGTGATCCAAACATTATACTTACAAAGAAAATGAAACCAGGAGTTTGGGTAAGAATAGATGAAAAATTTTTGGTTAGAGAAGTCATTGAGCAATCTGAGGTAGGGAAGCTTGACAGTAATGCAGTAGTCTATAGATTATATCGAATCCGAAAGCCAGATGTCAATCGATTAATACCTATGAAAGATGGAGCATTTAACTATGTAGCTTAATGAGTAATAGAGCATTTTGATAACACTAAGCGAGGGCATGGACTCACAGAAATTTGTCAGCAAAAAATAAATGATTGGGAGAAAAAAATGCGCATTCCAGGTGCTCGAGTACAAGATGTAGCAGAGTTAGAAAAAATTCTTAAACGACCGATTAAATTACTTGATATAACTCATGGTACTATATTTAATAGTGGAAAGTATCGATCAGGTAAGTATGAAGAAATTGGAATAGTAGTTCATAATGGTCATGTATTTCCAAGAAACCAGCACTTCCCAAGAGATCGAATAGTCGAATATTATAAGAGTGATACATAGGAAGCTATCAGTAATGCCCTCAGGGGACCTCAAGCAATCTGGCTTATGGGAATAGGGGATACAAGTCAAACAATATCACAGTTTGTTCTAGAAGATGGTCGCACATTTAGAATATGGAAAAAGCATACAGAAATTATAGAAGTATGCAAACAACTGATCAATGATACAATAGATTGGCAATATCAGAAAGAAATAATCAATAAGGAAAAGAAATCGATTCTTTCAGAGTCTCTAAAAGTTGTTGATTTAGCAAAGCAGGTATTTGGTGCAAACCATGCTGGAAGCCGACTTGCTAAAGAAATCAATGAATGGTATCCAATATTTGGAAAAGTAAATGAAAATATAAGGCAAGCCTGTGTCAAGTATAGGCATGGTGGACGCTGGAATGTACCCGATTATCACGTCAATGATATCGTATGTATCGATATGAAAGAATGTTATCCAGCAAGTATGTGAGGTCAAGGAGAATGTACACTATGGTTCAATAGGTTCGGACATCCAACACACTACCTTGTTCGAGTTGCGGTAAATAGAGAATTGCCAGAGGATGATATCGCTGGATTTGCGCAAATAAGATCTTTTAAATTTGCATCAAATATACATTCAGTGATTCCTGTCTGGTACAGAAAACATTTTGCGTGTCGAAGTGGAGAAGGATGTGGGAAAGAAAAAGGATGGGCACCTATTGTACTTCTATGATATCTTCTTGAGGTTGGTATTCTAGAAAGTGTGACTATTGGAGAGGCAATAATTTCTCTTACTAAACAGACCAAAGTATGGCTACCTAGAAATCGAGATATTAGTTGTGCAATTATAGGTAAGTTTACACAAGGTGGCAAGATTGATGAAAAACGCCTTACTCATCGACTTGTAACAGATGAAGGTGAGCTTGATTTCTTGATCAAAGATTGTACTGATGCTGGAACTTTTGCCGGAAGAGAAAAATGTCTACTCAGATTCATACTTACATATTACGAGGGACATCAACCTCAATATACACATTTGCAGGCCTCAATGTTAGCATATGCGCATATTAATTTGTTAGAGATGCTTCGGAGATTTGATCCTAATAAAGTAGTAAGGATTGCTACAGATCCTATATATGTACGAAAAGAGGCTTTATATAAGATCGAAAATATACCAGCATTCTTCAAGCAAGTTGAGGTAAAGTCAGATGATGCAGAGCATCGAATCGGAGATTTCCCAAATTTATGTTCACACTATCCTTCTTGTGCAATATGTACTGATCCAGAAGAATTCTTTATTTCAAAATCTAAATATGCAAAATGGATTAAAGAGTTCCAAAAAACCAAAACGCCTCTAGTAAAATATGACTGTAAAAGACATAAACCATTTATTTGCAGATTTTGCTTTACAGAATGGTTTTATAGACCAGACTCCTATGCTCTTTCACATCAACTAGAAGAACAAGAAATCTGAGAAATTCAACCTGATCAATGGCGTGACAAAGGTGAAAAAATATATGGACCAGTTACTGATATTGTATACTGGCCAAAGAATAGGTATTAGGAATCGATCAAAAATATTCCTGAAAGTACAGCACCCTTGATTCATGATCCTATTACAAGATGTCGGAAATCATATCTTAATAGAGGAGGTGGTTCAGGAAAAACAACACGTGCAATTCGAATTTTCAAAAATATAAACATAGTTGTATTTACTCATACAAATACATTAGCTAAAGATTTTTGAGAAAAACATGATGTAAAAGCTCAAACCTGGCATAGTTTCTTTAGATAGAATAAAGTGGGAAAGTGAATACCTGAACGCATGGGAGAGAAAAAATTTTCACAAGTTGTTATTTGGGATAAGGTATATACAGTTCCTAAGCATATTCTTGAAATGTTCATTAATTAATTATTAGAATATAAATGCCAGGTAATTTGTTGTGGTGACGATGCACAACCTCCGCCATTCTTCGGAGAAATACCACATAATTGGTTAAAAGAGCATGCTGATTATTACGAAGAAGTTTTAACTGATTATCTTGCAAAATGTCCTAAGTTACGTGAACTTAAAAAAGCTATGCGTCGAAAAAATAATCGAATACAATCAAAATTATTTCGAGAAATTCTCCCAACTATAGAAAATGTGAACGTCTCGAAAAGAAATGGACTCTCTCAGATCGTATATTATCAGCACATCGCCTATCTCGAAGAATTGCATCACAAAAATGTCTTGAACTCCATCGTATTAAATATCCAGATCTACCGGTTCCACTAATATATAGACCAGGAGATAGACGTAAACAAAACTGCCTCGTTTTAATTCCTGGTTCATCTGAGAAACAAGAACTAGTAAAAAATGATATAGTACATTTACCATTGAATACATTTCCTGAAAAGTTTATAAAAGATATATGTGCTTTAGCACTAACTCTATTATTAACTGAAGAAAAAATACTTGATTGGAATTTGGGATATGCTATGGCTGTGCATACTAGTCAAGAGATAATGCTTGAAGCACCACAACGAGTTTGGGTTATCGATGAATATTTGGCGTGAGATAATCTAATTTATTTAGCAGTTGGTCGTGTAGAATATTTGAGCCAGCTAATTCGGATAGAAGGTCCTCCATTACCTCCTGAGATTGAGGAAGCAAAAAATAAGAAA